AATATTTGTATATAAATGAATTCTTATTTTTTTACTTTATATTTAAATTAAAGATTTAATGATAAATTTTATTTTTATTTATTTTACTCTTAACAAATAAATAAAAATAAAAATTTATTTTAATTAGAGAATAAATAATTAAATTTAAGAGATAATTATAAAGTTAAAATAAAAAATATTATTTTTAATTAAATTTTAAATAAAAAATATCAGTTATATTGAAAAGAAAATGTATAAATATAAATATTAATTTCAAACACTATTGTCGTTTGTTAGGTACAACCTTTTAAGCAATGTGAAAGGCATTTTGGGCACACCGCACACCGATAAATTACATCGTAAATTGAAGTCTATCAAAAGTTGAGAAACTACTTAGAAACTGCGACAAGATGATTAAGTTTGAATTTTGACTGAGAAGATTGGAAGATCTGTTTGGTTTGATTTAGGATTTCGAGACACAAATATTCCGTACAAGATATTACCAATTACTACTTCGTTAATTTCACCATTTTAAGCAAGTTAATACTATAAAAACTTTATTAAGTGTTATGTGACCTATTAATTATTTTTTTTATAAAAAAATGATTGAACGTGAAAATTTTGAAATTTATTTTTAGGTATTAATTTTTTTATTCTCAACAATTCTCTTAAATCAAAAAAAAAAAAAAACTATAAAAACATTTTTTACAACAACGACATAAATCATATGATATAAGCCATCCATCTAATATATATATTATATATATAAACATTATCAATAAATCATATATATACTTTCTATCAAAATCGTCATGCAAGGAAAGAAAATTATAATCCAAAGCTTATTCAATTATATATATATTGGTGTAGACTTGCATGCCCGTTTTCTTAATTCATCACATATTCATATAACTATAAGACCGATCTGCCGGTCCCCAACATTCTACCACGTACATATATTTTTTGTCATGGACTAGCCACATCCGTGCCTGGGGAACATGCAACAGAACCGAAAGTATGCCCGTTTATGTAGCGGCTAGGCGCAGAAGAATAGTGAAACCCTTTTGGCAGGCAGTTCTTCACATTCCCATCACCCAAACGATGATACGATCCATCCCCTGTTTTCGGCTTAAACTTAACAGTATCACTGGATTTCGATCCCAGCGAAGGCCTCACAGCACCCGCGACCATGGCCCCATGACTTGTTCTGGTGGGAGGTGCAAGGAGGAGGAGAGAGTAGAACAAAGCCACAAAGAATGTGCTAGACATTGTTCCTAGAAGAGCTTAATTTAGGGGAAAAAAAAAAACCAAAAACTACAGAAGAGGGCAGAGAAGAGGTGGCTTTAAATAAGGACACACAAGAGGAGATGGAGATATACATGAGCAAGTCATTGCTAGCAATGCAAGTAGTGACTTTTGGACAATTACAAACCGCTGAGGCCCGTGAATCTCATTACTGCCTTCCAATATAGTTTCCCATGCTCAAAAAGTCAAATTCGTTTTCTTAGTCCTCAAGATTTTCATTACAACATTAATCACCGATCATTACAGGATATTACTAGAGAGAACATGGACCGTTAATCAACATTAATGCTAACAGCAAGTTAATCGTGCCAGAACAACGGCAGAGAAGATTGTAAATCCATACAATATCAAGACCGTAGTCAACGACGGTGAACTACGTTGGAAACACGGAGGATTTTGATTGGACCAGGTGTAGAAGTAGTAGCTTACCTGTCCGACCGGCCTATTTGGTATGAGCGGTTCTTTTACACATCACCTCCTCCAACTGTCATACTTAATCTTATGCCATGTGTTACTTTCCGATCAACAAATCTGTGTAGATCTAGTTGAAGAAGACCCAAGTAGATTGGCATCATCATCTTAATCTTAAATAGTGTGTTAAGAGGGAAAAGTCTTGTCATATTCTAAACTAAATCTCATGAGAATTAAGACACGTAGAGATATTTTAAAAATAGTTTTATCAAGATTAAATAGATAAAATTCCACTAAAATTAGCATACACAAACACCAATCAAATAAAATTGTACTCCTAGAATAATTTTATGTAAATATCTTATAAATACCTTAAGAATCTACTTAAGGAGGCACATTATTTTTTTTACTTTTTCTCCACTGTAAACTCTCTTTATTAATAAAGATCTCAGTTCCATTCTCTCTATTTTTTAATGTTAACAAGTCTCATGAAAATAACAATAAAAAAAATATAAATTAAATGTAAAAAAATTACTCTATCTATTACTTGTTCGTTTTTACTTGGATATAAATTTTATATTGAAATTAATACGTCTAATTTTATGGTGACATGCTAGAGCCTTATCTTTGTATAGCTTGAGGCCCAGATCCCTCATCATAGCCCACTCTCGTACCAGATCTATAATTTTATAATTTATATTGCCATCACCGACCAGCCCAGCCCAACCAACCCAATGCGATTGCATGCTTATCCCCTCATTTTTTCGCAATGAAAGTACAGAGATACTGATTTCTTAACTTCCATGTGGAGATTATCAATGCAGTTAGAACCTAGTAGTGAAAAATAAAAAAAGGAAATTTGCATTTGGCAAAGACTTCCGTATGTAAAAGTGCATGTAAGTACAAAACATAGTGATTAGCATGACCTTAGCAATGTGATTAATTAAACTAAATCAAACAAACCATTATCAAGTAAACACCGTAACAAGAGGGATTAGTTAATTACTTACATTGGAAGTCGTTAATCTTTGCTTAATTATCAAAAGGTTTATCTATGCTAATAAAATTGTTTTTATGTACGGGTTTTTTTAGGTTTTACCCCACGTTCATATGTTTATATTCTTTCTTCTATCAATTATATAAAGTGAATGATGGTCTGTTACCGTCCATCCATTTACGATAT